ACTGGTTTTACAAAACGTTCAAAGGTGAGTATAACTACCCATTTGTATAATCAAATTTAGTATAAGAGATGTGACGCTTTAGTTCACGTAGTTTATATGGCCATATCCAGTAAAAAAAAGGCGCATAGCCTTTTTAAACATCATTTTAACCTATAGTTTACGATTTTAGCCATCTAGATGTAAGGTTGCTGAGATATGGAAATTAGTCATAGACAACTGAAATTGGTGTGAAACAATAACGCTACTGTAGATGACTCACCGGAAAGTCTTGTAATGTCGGGAGGATAAAGTTGAGAGAGTATCCAGGATGCATTTTCTGAAGGTGCGCCAAGAAGTCATTTAAGTGTCCGCCTACTGTTGATATTCTCTTCCTGATACCCGTGATCATGCCAGTCGTGATATTGATGCTGTCTAAATGTCGATCACTTATTTCCTGGGTGGTGTGTGGGGTGGAAAATGTATGTTAGTATTTTATTCCTTGTATTGGTTTTCGCGGAGGCATTTGAAACAAAACATTTGTATTTGATGTACATATTGACTACATAGTAATGATGTGATGGTATCCGCTTATTGAACTAGGTATTTGATTTTCTGAAACCAATCTTAACGTAAAATCAAATCCAGTAGAGCTTTCTTTTGAGAAGTAATATGTGTTCCCTGCGATTTGGAATCAACTTGAAGTTTCAACTTGCAACACTGAGTTGGAGACCGGTTAATTCAGAGCAAACAGTGAAGTGAGTATTTGTGCAGTGATCCAGCTTCCATTATAGGATACCGATTAGTCGTACTCGTAAAAGTAATGATGGGCTCCTTTGAACATCTAAGCATACTTTGTAGCCCTTTCAGCTATAATCCGTGGATCATGATGGGCTCAATGCCTGATGTGTGTCTGCGTACATATACTATTTGTCATTCCCTGGATAACATGGTTTTACGTTGAATAGAATATTACAATGAAATAGGTCTAATAAAATACATTAATGATATAATTCGTGTTACTCTTAAACTTACCTCATTTGCAATCACCCAGAGATACTGGTTTCCGACCATGTGCATCTCATTTGCCTGGATGAAATGACAAATAAATGGTAATAATTAGACACTGCACATTGTAACAATGTATGTTGGTTGTTAATCTAACCCTTTTAATGTACGATCCTATTTGCTGACCTACTAGCTCTTAGATTTCTAGATGGTAGATTCCTTTCAACGAAAAATTGGGTACGCAATACTGAGACATATTGCTCAGATATTTCTTATAGAAAATGAGGATAGTTGCAGAATCTCAGTACTAATGGTAATCATACCCCAGGACGAAGAAATACTGGTAAAGTAGTGGAGATGTGTATTGTAAATGACCTGAGCTTAAAGAAGACTTAGACACTATTAGTTGTATTTATTACAGCTTTCTTTCTTGATGAGCGAGTATGCATTACGACTTCCAGTACTTTGATCGTAGGAGTTATAAACAAATCAAAGGTTCCCTTATATCATATGAAATTGTGTGATGTAATGAAACAAGAAAAGATATTCTCATCCTCTGATAACCAATACGTAAGAGGCTATGCCTTTGAAGACAGTGAATGCGTATCACGTATGTATGGTAACTGCTAATTGGTTAAACCTTTATTATGACCTTTGATTACCGGGCTTACTTCTGTGGAAATACGACGGCCAGCATTTTACCGTCAACGTTTATTATTTCAAAAACACTAAAGACGGACTGTAACGTACTTTACAGACAAATACAAAGACTAACAGCGACAGTTTTGACATTTGTAAAGCTGGTTGCAGCTAATATTTCAAGGCAACGCGCAATATAGTTTTGAATGTGAAGATGGAGGGTAAGATTTATGACGAAAGTTAGTTGAGAAGTGTTGACTAGTGAAATGTCGGAAACTGGATGGAAAACTTCTGAATACTGCTGGCAGATTAGACGAGAGTGCTTGGGGAAGTCAATGGTTTGAATTCATTTATAGCAGCCTCCAGTTTAATCCCAGACTTCCAGTTTAATTCCAAACTTCCGCTTCTTTAATTCCAAACTGTTTTCCATATCCCGCCAACCGTACAAAATGTACATCTAAATTATACTATTATACTTTAAATGATGTAAGAAATATATAGCAGCCCAATTCTCCAGAGTTCTGGGAACTGGATCCAAAATTCTGTGCAGAATTCATCAGAATTGGATTTATTTCTAAGGGGTCGTCGATGACTGCTACGTTTACACATTTCTTACATCACTTTTACCTATAGTTTACGATATTACCCCACCTAGATGTAAGGTTGCTGAGGTATGGAATCAGTGCAGAGTTAAACTGAATGCTGCTTTTAGGTCTATTTTAAAGAATAAGGAGTTAACAACTAACTACAGTCGTAGCTTAAATCTACGGTAAAAGGAAATATAATCAATTCCGTACCTGGTACAAAACTTCAACTGTTGTTTCCGGTGAACATAACACCACCACGTTGTTGTATCTGAAGTTCCTTTCATCGATGGACTTCAGTTTCTTCCGGAAATATTTGCTATTCAGTTCATCTTTTGAAGATACTCTCAGTATCAGCATGTCCCATGAGTGAGTCGTCCCCTCAATGATTAACGTTTGCAATCTTTCAAAATCTAAAGACACAATAATGAAGAAATTTACTTAAAAATACCAAACATTTTCAATCGATGTGGCAGTGTCATGGTATTTGTCATGGATTGTAGCACGGTATTTGTTGACTGGCTGGTAATACTGACAAGGGCGGCAATCTGACTGGTCAACAAAAAGCACAAAAACAATATAGATAAACAATATCGATTTGCAAAAATGTAATGTAAATTTCATTTCATTTTTATTCATTTACCCAGGGTCAGCGATGCGTTCTCGTGTGTGCTACAGTTTTTGATATAAAGGTATTTCTTAAATCTTTCTCCCCACGTTAAAGTCCTTCATACATACCGTATGAATTTGATAGACTCCTAGCGATTTGGTGATGCTGTCATTTGGTGATGTTTTAGAGGTGAAGGGTACTGAATGATGTGATACAGGTAAAACAGTTATGGTTCGTGTACCTTTTAGTCATAGTCATGAAGTTTTGTAACTGTTAGATAATGTGTGGAAGGAAAACCACAACTCACCATAGGATTCGTCGTATATCAAAACTATACTTCTCCAGTGTTGCTGTTTTATTAATGTTAATAACGCCTGGTCAAGTTGTGATTGCCTGGGTCGCATGCTCAGACTGTAGCCTTTCGGTTCAAGGACATTGCAGTTACACGAGGGCCTTGGGACGTAGAGATGTGGCAGTGTCATGGTATTTGTCATGGACTGTAGCACGGTATTTGTTGACTGGCTGGTGATACTGACAAGGGCGGCAATCTGGCTGGTCATCAAGGAGCACACTGTAAATAGAACAAACAAGAGCGTCCTTATTTAATTACACACAATAACAATGCACTGTTATAGTATGTATTATTAAGTTATGCTGAGGAATATTCTAATTGAGGGTATATGTTTTTTAGAATCTTTATTTGCATATTCATGTCCATGTGTGTAAATGCATACTTGCATAGATGTATACTGAGTAACGTAATACATATGATAGAAGGATAAAAGAATAAAGTTAAAGTCTTAGGAACTACAAGAGAATACATTCTATCTAATCTAGGTCTTAAAGACTTTATTTTCTCTTTTTAAAGCAACTTGAGATTATAAAAGAAGGATAAAAGAATATAAAGATAAAATAGGGATAAAAGAATAACGTTAAAGTCTTAGGAACTACAAGAGAATACATTCTATCTAATCTAGGTCTTGAAGACTTTTTTTCTCTTTTTAAAGGAACTTGAGATGATATATGAGAGAGACTGTGGATTCCGTATTTCATGTATTTTATATTTTGCGTAACTACATATTTCATATATTTTGTATTGTTCATAACTACATGATGTGCAAAATAATAATATTGATAAAATATTTATATCATAGAGTTTAAAACAAAAGTTATACGCTAGTGTTGTACAGTCTAGTTGGTAATTGCAGTAGTTTCTATGCAGATATTTGATGAATATCACTTACGTCTACTGGATCACCATATCAGACCCAAGATTGATTGTTTTAATTTCTAGCTATGGCCATCTCTGCGGAAATGTAGGTACGCCACTCTTTATCAACGTTCATCTGACTAATGCATAATGCAAAAATCCGCAATTATCGCCACAATGAGAAATAGGGTGCGATTTAATTCGGAAGCAATCGTATTAATATAAAACGTAGCTATCTGAAAGAAAAATGCGTTGTCCTGGCTTTGCGAGATATCTAATATTCTCACATATTTGCTGACTCCCTTTGTACGAAAAATATTATTCATCATTGTAACTTATTGTGGGTAGATGCTATTATTTGGACTGTATCCTTGCAGTTGTCCATTAGTTCAGCCCACCCAGATAGTTTATGTGTCCCAGACATCTGAAGGCTCTTCTGCAGAAATATAGCCATTGAATAACTTGACTCAGCCGGCAAAACGCATTAGAAATTCAGTCTGCTAAAGGGTAGAGCATGCATGGTACCGGGGGATCATTTTAAATGCACGTCCATGAAACTTTTAGTGTACCTTTGATAAGACGCAGATGGCTGAAAGAACATCAGGGAACCGCTAATGTTGCCATGACCTCTCGGCGTGGTTGCGGGGTTCTTCGGCGTATTTGTGTGCGACTCACTTATATTGCCATGTCATGGCGGAGTGGAAAGATGTCTGTAGTAGCATTTTGCGTTCGACTTACTAAATGCTGTAGTGACCTACTGATGTGCAGCGCTTTTCAGTGTTTTATTTGCTATTTTTTAACATTTCTATAATGTGCTAACGTAGACAATAGCCTGGGTTGTAACATAAAAATGACACTGCTGGCTATACAGTGGTTTACAGCAGCTGCAAGAAGGTATGCCCATGTGATGTCCCAGGCTCCAAGAATTTTTCTAACCATACATTTTAAAGGCAAACAGAAATCGATTTGGAATTTATATAAACCCAATAGTTTATTTTTGCATTCATGTTAAAATTAGATTACAAGAGAGGCAGTAATAAAATATCTTTTAGAAATTCACTCTCCAAGTTTTTTTAGGTATGGTATTAATAAATAAATTAAACAAATGTTGTTCTAAACTGTTAAATGGCAGTCTCTGCAATATCATATAACTATTAGAATTTTATTAACTAGAATTTCTAATAATAAATTAGAAGAAAACGAAGCAATTTGATGGATGTTATGTGTTTTAGCCTTTCGTATCTGTTTCACATAAGGTGCACCATGGTGATAAGAAAACAGCCCCAGGCCTAAATTTTGAAATCCAGAACAGTTACATCCGAACGCCTATGGTATACACAAAGTTGTTACATTAGCATTTCATAATTTGTCCCGACGGTGCTATTTGTTTAAATCACCCAGTAGGGAACAAGTCACTGGACACTTAAAGGCTTTTAAGAAATGCCTTTAAAGATCTTTAACGTTGGCCCGTTGGCCCTAATTAATCACCATTGTCTGATTAATCCTTACTTATAAGTCCTTATATATTTTAAATTATGAACCTATGTCAATATGTCACATAAAGATTTATGTCTCTAAAAATGCTGCCATAGATATATGAACGCAGGAATCTTAAAAGATGCTTTGGATGGCGCCAGAAGTATTACTGAAAGAGGTTGGATTTAGTCTCATTGTTCGAACTGTATACACCCCGTCCTGTCGGCCCCAGATGATATTTTTTGTGGTCAAAGGCATTTACCCACAGTAGAAACGTTAAAATGTTTCTGGGAAGAAAGTAAATGACGTGTATTGAAGACATGAATATATACATACTGATTATTCATATAAGAAATGGTAAGTGCATTTGTAACAATACGCTGGCCAAGCGAGCGCTTTACCTACATACATGCATAAACTTCTCTCTATATCTCTCTATTTCTATCTATCAATCTATCAATACCTATATCTAGCTAGGAACTAGATAGATAGATAGATAGACAGATATATACATAGATAGATATAATTATATAAGACAAGTCTCGGATTTTTAATAGAATAGTATGTTACAGACATCCTAAAGATGCTGCAAGAATAATGTCAGACAATGTAAAAGCTTTACACTGTCCAACTCTTACAAACCCAAGTGTTTATTCATACACTTAAAATGATGAAGAAAAAAGTATTGGATTATGTTGTGTTGTTACTGCTATTAAACGCTGTCCTACTTTTTAAGTGGCACCAGGAAACTGCTACGCAGTAACATCAATAATGTACACCAAGGACGAATCAATGTCATGGAGGACAAAATCATCCCTTTTTATAGGCTATATATCAGCGGTTATATCCTTTATTATATTGCTCGTTATTTCTCCTTTACGCTGGGTAGATTTCACAAGAAATTGTTAGTTATCTGGTTAATTATCATAAATTTCACGTCACATCGGAGAAAAGAAGAAGTCTTGGTGTTTACCCAAAGAAATATCATTATACGGATTGTCATTGACGAAAATTTTGTGTGGATTTACCAACCCTTTTATCTTTACACACGGCATTTTTTTGCACAACTCGAAGTCCCATTTTCTAAAAGCTGGCATACTTTTGCAGCAGTTATGTAAAGCAGCAGGAGGTATCATTATACGGATTGTCATTGACAAGATGTTTTGTGGATTTACAGACGGCATTTCGCACTATTGCACAAACAAAAGTCACATTGATGACAAGTAATACCTTTTGCAGCAGTTACGCAAATCAGCAGGAGACCAAATGGTAGGGTTTACAACATGTTAAAAGCTTGCAATGTCGAGAGTTCCCCTAGACCTTCAGGATGCTGATTTCCGGGATGGAAATGTTGTAGTTTGATGTATACATACGTGGCTGCCTGATGATAAAGCCTCAACATCACAGACGCTGACGTTCCTTCAATTTAAACACCTTCTTTTAGCTGAGGAAAAATATCCGCTTGCCTTCCTGAACCTGGTAGATTGCCGTTGCTCTATATTTCGTTGTTCATATGACGCATTTCTCGACTTCATTTTACCGGTAATTTGAAGTTAACTCCCGTTAACTCCCGTTAACGATTGGTCTGTACACCTTCTATCTAAATATGATAGTCACCTTGGTTGAATATGTTAGAACTACACACCTTCTACCCTGTAAACTTTATAGTAGTCAAAGAAGTACTCTGTAATAATCTCTTTTCAACATAGTAGAGCTACAGCATCTCAATGGCAGTTCTTTATGTTCCTTACTGCTACGAGGATCCACATTCCCATTTACAAAACTGTAACAAATTTGATGTAGTTCAAAACTTTATATACTGTACAGGTAGATTCTCATAATTGATAGGTCACCAACTTGTCTTGTTTATATATATACTCATTTCTCTTTTACCTAATTCGTAATAATATATGTATTTTGTCATTGTTTTTTACTGCCCTACTTCCATAAATACGTGCCTTTTGCACTCATGACAAGCTCATGTTATAGCGTGACCTCTAACTGCAAAAAAACGGACGCCGCATCGCATATATCAAACCCGGGCCTTTGGTCTGGGTTGCACAGTTGAATGCTTGAGTTGCTTGAGAACACCATTGACCACCGCAAGGGTAATACCAATATGGGCATTAACTGCACGTCTACCATAATTGCCTTCCCCTCGAGGTTTCATTATATGGTATTTGACCGCCAGATTTTGACGTCATAATTTATGTTATGGCTTTAAAGTTGGCTTCTTGGTCAGGATTGATATTCAGAAGAACGTCTTCTCACGGCTAGACCTGCCTCGGGTTAATGCAGCGGAGTAATTGGGTTGGCTCAGCGGAATGGCGCCAAACATCCCGGAGAACTATCCCCGTACAGGGACAAGACGCACCCCGTTACGGTTCAATAAGCAAAAGAGACACAACCTTGAGGAGACATTTCAAGGCTTTTAACCACGGTCACTTCTGTGTGTGCACTCCATGAAAAATACCCTTGAATTGGGACATAGTCAAAATTCTATCAAAATGGAAATGATCGTCTTCTTTCTTCGATTTCCGCGAAATCTTTAAAGACCATCAGCACAATATCATTGCATTAGATTTGCAATGCAACGCTGAGAAGAGAACACATGCCGACCACGTAGGTATAAAGGTGTAGCATTTCTTCTACTTCTTTCCACATGTATTTATAATCAATACCTTAATCTTCAAGCTTCTGCAAACAAAAACGACCTAGAGCTATTAAAGACTCAAGTGAGCAAAATCCAATTCTAACAACGGGGCGGGCTGAAGAACAATATACCTTTGAGAGATCGTAGCCCACAGCATGGACATAGGTATGGTAGGAGAGGGCATCGTTCAATAAACTAGCTTTGGGTGGTGGGTCTTTATGCTTCTTTAAGAGATAGCACTCGTATTTTACAAGATAAGCTATATATACTGTTGTAATGAGCTGGTCTGGCAAGGTAATAAAAATACATCACCTACCTTTGATGGTCGCTAGAAATGGGTTGGACCTGTTCATGACTTCCTTTTTGTAAAGAAGTTTCACACCAGGGAGAATGCTGTTGTTCCTGTTTATCTGGTCTACCGCGTACTTAAACGCTGTTTCCTCTGCAGTAGTAGGCTCTTCGAAAAATGCACCTAAAAACATGTATGGAAACGCAGTTATTCACACGTAGATCTGAGTAAACAACGTAAGCCATCTTTTAAAACAAAAGAATATAGAAATGTCTCTACGGTAAAATCTAATTGTAATGTTTGTCTCACAAAGTCATGGAAAAACCTCGACTACAGTCACAAAAATCTGGCATCAAATCTATTAAAAAACTAACTTAAGAATGATTGAGGAAGTATCCCCCCGGGAATTAGCCCCTGCGTCACGGAACGTGGAAATACTTTAATCTCCAAGCAGATTCCTTCAGGTTCAAATTGTCCACCAGTTACCATTGGCGTCCGCATGGTAGTCTGCCCCCGGAGGGATCAACCTTAAGATTAGAAATTCCTTGCCATGTCCAATTTGGAGTTTATTTGCACCTTGTTCAGATTACTGTTTCACAACATTTACATATCATACCCTCGGTGAATCGATTTAGCACTTCGAAACGTCAAAGTTATAAAAGGTTTCACTTAAATATCAAGGAAATGCTTACTGTTGTCCATAAACTCCACTTATATATGCTTTGGCACCAGACAGA